ATCGATAGAACGACCGAAACCCGGTCGTGGTCCGAAACACGGACGATAGAAAGTCGCACGGTTCAAAGTGCAACTTACGCGGGTGACGAAAAACTCCAGCGGCCGTGTTACCGTGAATTTCGGGTCGTGCGCAAAAAAAATTGATTTGCAGTGGTTAGGCATTTGCGTTTTATGTAAAAAAATTAAACAGATTTTAGTACGATGTAAATCGTACGTGAATCCCGGGGAGAGTCCGGAAGTACAGCAAAATAAGTAAATAGCGCCACAAATAAAGTCAACAAAAATCGGCGGCCGGATCTGTTTGAAATTGGTTCAAATACTGACTATCGGAGATTATAAAGTAACCAAGTCCAAAGTCCGACGTGGGAGTGGTAATGAATTCCCCTGCGATTGGGAAAATCATTTAGTAGTATTTGTGGAGTCATTATTGTATGTTATAATAATGAAACAAATTATTATAAAGCCAATTATAACAAATAATTTTTACGGGCAGCCGTCGTCTCGTCGGCCCGACGAAAGCGGGCGACAAAAAAGTAAACGTAAGTATACTATAGATTTATGCACGCGTACCGTTTAAAAAGTAACATTGAAATGAAATTTTAATTTTCGCAGGGTGTTTTATATGCAACAGCCCGAATCACCTAAAGCGGGACTGCAGAAATAAAGGTAAAATAACCTTCAATTATCTTTCATGTGTTCAATATATTTATGTTTATTTTAGAATCGTTTAAAAAAAAAATTACTATTAAAAAAAGATTGAAAATTGCAAAGCGAGAAGTCGCGAAATTGCGTAGACTATTAGAAGCGACAAAAGAAAAGGCACCACAGCTACAGGAGGGACCACCACCTCCTGACGTAGAAATGCCGGAGCAAGGTATGAGATGCATAGGTGCAACACAATTGGAGGTAGAACTGTTTTGGTAATTGTAATATACTAAACGTTGCTTTTTCAAATGTGTTAATGAGCAGTTCTGCCTCTAACTCCAATCCAATAAATTCGCTATGTTGCAACATACGATAAGTGTACAATTTTTTTGTTTCAGAACGCAATAATGAGAGTGCGGAATAATTTTTTTTATTAAAATAAATATTATTAAAATAATATTTAAATATTTATTAAAATAATATTTAAATATTTATTAAAATAAATAATAAATTGTTTGAAATACAATCCGTGTTTATTTATTTGTTCCCACCATATGTATATATATAAAAGCATAATTGCGTCGGACAACATTATGAAATGTTTATTCTCTCTTTGGTCGATACAAACTGATAAAGTAAGTGAATCTTTGTGTATGATAATATTAGAGTGCATCAAGTGAAAACCGATATAACAATATTACATACTTGAAATCATATTATATATAAAAAAAGAAAAAATGTAATTTAAAGTAAAAATCATTTTCTTCAAAGTAAAATATTTGAAATGTAAATATAATATATTTAACTATGCGATCGAGTAGGCAAAAAACAAAAATAAATAAGATTGGTCGTGTAACATATCGGGTTATAAGATTAAATATTATTAAAAAAAATTACATGTCATTGAAAAATAAAACATTGAATCTCCCTCTATATCCTATTTTCGTAATTGAATACACATTATCGTATTTCACGGTTGACCAACAATACTTCAAACGCTCTGTGCGAGATGCTATATATTCATATCGAAATAAAAGTAAATAAATATATTTATCATTATAATCATTATAATAGCATAAGTGAAAAATATTATAAATTATCGTAATCAGGGAGTAATAAAATTTATATATAATTGTGAATGTATAATTTTAAGAACGCAAACATGTGTAAAATAGGTTTTTTTTTTGTACAATAAAAAATGAATTTAAAGGAACAATCGCACGTCTATATAGTTAGTAACCGCACACATGAAACAAAATGAAACAAAATGTATTTGTATAAATAAAGTAAACTATTTCAAACATGAAATTGAATTTATTCATATCAAAACGAAATAGTCAGAACAGATACGAATAAATAAATAAAAAATATTGAAAGTTACAATAGTTTAAGGCATCAATTAATATTATTATAATCTATTGTACTCGGTAAATTTAACACTTATGAATGTAAAATGTAAACGATATACTACAATGTGTCGACATTTAATAGACAATAAATTAGCAAGTAGTGAAATGTCTTATGAGAAAATCATTGAGCCTGTATTGTATCGGGAGTTGATTAATTAATTTACAGAACGGGTTGATTAAATGAATAAAAGAGTAGTGAAAGATAATATAAATAATTTAATATTAAAAACTGATTTTGAGGTATTTAATAAAATCTTTTGGTTTTATACGATAATGGTGTTTCCTATATAGAAATGAAGTATTTGAATTAACGGAAAATATGAAATTCAATGGTAAAATTAAACCATGCCATAGAGACAGATATCATCAAATAATTTATTTCACTTCCGAATTATTGCGAGTTATTATTTAACTTTAAAAATATTTTAAAATAATTATCGTTTAATTTAAATTTTAATATTTTTCACTTATAAATAATTAGTATACTAAAAATTTCCCAGGCCAAATGTAAAAAAAATTATGGTTATAAAGTGTCCAGTGCCAAAGCTAAATAAACGGCTTTCAATTAATTATTTATTGAAATACAATATTCATTTAACGTATACGATTTAACAGAGCCGGTGTTATTTTAATTGTATGACGCATAAAAATTAATTTAAAAATTCACATGTGTTGTGTGTTCCTTTAATTATAATTACTAATTATGCATAAAATAAATAATTTAAAAAGTGATATATTCAAATTAAACTCCAATTTTTAATTTTTTTTAGTTTTATGCACGAAAAAAAAAAATAGAACAGAGTTTATTTAAAAAAACATAATTCAACAATAACTTTAAAGTACGATCGATGGATAAGTCTGTAGTCGTTTTCTCGATGAACTCCGAAGGCCAACAGTAGTATTTTCCAAGCTGTGTTCGGCAGTTAGATGTCACCGAGTAAATTTAAAAATCGCTAATTTTCGATATTTTTTCAATTTTTTTTACTTAAAAGTGCCATAACTTTTTCAAAAATTAACATATCAATATAAATCTTTTTTATATAGATGCATAATATCATTACTTTTCATTTGGTATATTTTTTTCATAAATTTAACCCTAAACCTGCCCACAAGGGGGGATTTAAAATGACAACTTTTTTACAAAAAATTAATTTTTTTAAAATGAAGGTCTGACACTTTTATATATATCTTAAATTAAAGCTAATGTAATATGCTTTATCATGAAAAAAAAAAATTTCGGACTTTATCTTATCTTCATGGTGAAAATGGCTACCGAATGCTATTTTTGTGTGAAAATTTTCGATTTTGTATTTTCCATTTTTAACTTTATTATGCTATAACTTTTTGAAAAATGAATGAATCATTACAATTTTTTTATGAGAAGTAGTATTTATATAGATCTTTCATTCTACATACTATTTTTTTAAATCGGACCATTTGCCTTACTATAGGGGTGATTCAAAACATAAAAATGTATATAGAAAATAGAACTTTTTCAACTTAACTTTTGGAAGTGTTCCAGAAGGTCTGACACTTTTATATATATCTTAAATTAAAGCTAATGTAATATACTTTATCATGAAAAAAAAAAATTTCGGACTTTATCTTATCTTCACGGTGAAAATGGCTACCGAATGCTATTTTTGTGTGAAAATTTTCGATTTTGTATTTTCCATTTTTAACTTTATTATGCTATAACTTTTTGAAAAATGTATGAATCATTACAATTTTTTTATGAGAAGTAGTATTTATATAGATCTTTCATTCGACATACTGTTTTTTTAAATCGGACCATTTCCCTAAATACAGGGGGGATTCAAAACATAAAAATGCATATAGAAAGTAGAACTTTTTCAACTTAACTTTTGAAAGTGTTCCGGAAGGTCTGACACTTTTATATATATCTTAAATTAAAGCTAATGTAATATACTTTATAATGGTAAAAAAAAATTTCGGACTTTATTTTATCTTCATGGTGAAAACAGACATTAAACTTAATTAAAAATTGAAAATTTTCGATTTTGTATTTTCCATTTTTAACTTTATTATGCTATAACTTTTTGAAAAATGTATGAATCATTACAATTTTTTTATGAGAAGTAGTATTTATATAGATCTTTCATTCGACATACTGTTTTTTTAAATCGGACCATTTCCCTAAATACAGGGGGGATTCAAAACATAAAAATGCATATAGAAAGTAGAACTTTTTCAACGTAACTTTTGAAAGTGTTCCGGAAGGTCTGACACTTTTATATATATCTTAAATTAAAGCTAATGTAATATACTTTATAATGGTAAAAAAAAATTTCGGACTTTATTTTATCTTCATGGTGAAAACAGACATTAAACTTAATAAAAAAAATACGATTTTTGTAAAAAAATTCTTTTTTATATTTTTAACTTTATAATGCTATAACTTCTCGAAAGATGTATGGATCAATATAATTCTTTTTTTTGTAGATGCATGATGTCTTTACCTATCATTTGGTATATTTTTTTTATAAATCTGACTTTTTACCTGCCTACAGGGGGGGATTCAAAATGACAACTTTTTCACAAAAAATTGACTTTTTCAACTTAAATTTTGAAAGTGTTCCGGAAAGTCTGACACTTTTATATATATCTTAAATTAAAGCTAATGTAATATACTTTATCATGGAAAAAAAAAATTTCGGACTTTATTTTATCTTCACGATGAAAATGGCTACCAAATGCTATTATTGTATGAAAATTCTCAATTTTATTTTTTACATTTTTAACTTTATAATGCTATGACATATTGAAAAGTGTATTGATCAATATAATTTTTTTATGGGATATTCTATTATNTAAAAAAATTCTTTTTTATATTTTTAACTTTATAATGCTATAACTTTTTGAAAGATGTATGGATCAATATAAATCTTTTTTTGTAGATGCATGATGTTTTTACCTATCATTTGGTATATATTTTTTATAAATCTGACTTTTTACCTGCCTACAGGGGAGGATTCAATATGACAACTTTTTCACAAAAAATTGACTTTTTCAACTTAAATTTTGAAAGTGTTCCGGAAAGTCTGACACTTTTATATATATCTTAAATTAAAGCTAATGTAATATACTTTATCATGGAAAAAAAAAATTTCGGACTTTATTTTATCTTCAAGGTGAAAATGGCTACCAAATGCTATTATTGTGTGAAAATTCTCAATTTTATTTTTTACATTTTTAACATTATAATGCTATAACTTATTGAAAAGTGTATTGATCAATATAATTTTTTTATGGGAAATACTATTTTCTAATAATCTCTTTTTTATTCGACATACTTTGTCTTAATCAGGATATTAATAAGGAACTAGCAGTTTATGAAGCTTTTGGAATAATCCACCAATTTTTTAAAATTAAACACTATCTAAAGATTTGCATCGAAGCGTTTTTTAATCTTTACATACNCTTTTTCACAAAAAATTTACTTTTTCAACTTAAATTTTGAAAGTGTTCCGGAAAGTCTGACACTTTTATATATATATTAAATTGAAGCTAATGTAATATACTTTATTATGTAAAAAAAAAATTTCGGACTTTATTTCGTCTTCACGGTGAAAATGGCTACCAAATGCTATTATTATGTAAAAATTCTCAATTTTATTTGTACATTTTTAACTTTATAATGCTATAACTTATTAAAAAGTGTATTGATCAATATAATTTTT